TTGCAATGATGTCACTTCTTGACATCATTGCTTACTACTTGTGAGATCACATGGTACAAGGCTATTCACAACAGCCTTGTACCATGTGGCAAGCTGTGACCAATCACAGCTCTCACAGTATTTTTCAATGGCTGCAGGAATGCAGCCAGAGAGAAGGAGAAATTATTGCTTTTACAGCCTTTATGGGTATAAAAGCAATCAGTGTAAAAAAAAAAGATAGATCAATAAATTTTGGCCAAGATTTATGAAGAAAGATTATTTATTTACAAAATGTTATAAGAAAAAACACTTTTTTTTCCAAAACTTTTTGACTTTTTAATTCATATAGCAGAAAAATAAAAAATCACAGTTGTGAAATAAATACCACCAAAATAAAGTTTTATCTGTCCTTAAAAAAATGCTAAAATATTCATATGGGTACAGTGTTGCATGACTGCGCAATTGTCATTCAAAGTGTGCTAGCACTGAAAGCTGAAAATTTGCCTGGACTGAAAGGGGGTGAAAGTGTCCGGACTTGGAGTGGTTAATATTAAAGCTAAGTTCCTGTTTCCTAGTCACTTAAGAAACTTTATCAGGAACAGGTAATGTCACAAGGAAAATGCAACTTATTTCGGAGCAAAGGTCTGTTTGTATGCTTCCTTAAAAATACAGGAGGTCACTAGTTTCAGTATTCAACTAGCATATGAAGCCAGCTGAAACCATATAAAACAATTTTGGTGCAGCTAATTGTACACTTCAAGATATGCTGCAGAAGTGCACAATATATTGTAAAGAACAAAAAAAAAAGACAAGCTGCCTCTCAGACATAAAAAGGCTTTGGTTTGTTCATTGTGTGTTTTGGAATCACATAATGGGTAGCAAGAATTTTACTTTTGCATGAAGGTAGGCTTTACCACAGGTGTCATGATGCTATTATAGCTTTGTTATGTAAAGGTTTACAAATACTTTAAATGGACTTGCCAGAGTTCTTGCCATAATGCAAGTATGTACATGATGATAGGCCCATCTCTCCATTCTTACTTACTTGTACTCAGGGGTGGACTGACAACTCATGGGGCCCCCGGGCAATAGCGGATCATGAAGCCCCTGTGTCCTTGCCCAAACTCAAAAAAGCCTATGAAAAAGGTACCAGGAGCATCTCATGGGGCCCCCCTACTGACACCCGGGCCCTCGGGCAGTGCCCGAATTTCCAAATGGTCAGTCCGCCCCTGCTTGTGCTTATTACCAGCATGCATGGCAGTCAGTTTTCAGTTAGGAATATATTGATAACAAGAAGAAAAAAATCCTATATGATAAAAAAGAGACGTACAGTTTCCTATGCCATAAAAAATCCACTAGCTAGCAATTTTTGTAAGTGTACCTTTAGTTATATTTTAATGCATGACTTTCAAAAAAGGTTGGGTATCATGACTACCAAGATAGTGGACCTTTTTGAATTAGGTATTTTTAAGTTGTTCAATAAATAGACCAGAACACAGACATACAGATCATTTCATCAAAATGTCTGTAATATGGGAGGTGGCCCATAGAGAATAAACATGGAGACACTGAGTGGCATAACAATAGCCACTGACTGCATGTCTACCAGTACCTTGAAAACATTTTTTATCCCCAAAACTTCTTAATTTGTTATAGGTTCCTCATGTCTGGATTTTGTTTGGACTTCAAGGGCATGAACCTACCTGGACGACCAAGCAGGTATAAAAAAACCAGCATTTATTGCAGTATTCCTTAAAATTTATATTTTATATGCCTCTAACATAAGTAGCCAAATCTGTCTTGATATCATCCTCCTGTCATTCTTTGCACATTACCTTTCAGATTGGTTGCAGGAGGGGCAGCATTTTAAGTCAATCAGATGTGCTGAATACATGTTGCGTGTGGCTGTTATGATTGGTAGACAAATTTTAGTATGTAGTGAACGTATCCTTTAAAGAATTATTTTATAATGCTTCTTTTCTTTTTAGGGGTTGTGCACTGTAATATATAGCCTCACATTTGGTTCATAACATACTTTGGTATACTCTGTACTTGCCAACTATTTAATTTTTAATAGCTGTAAACCAATATGTTAACATGGACATACTATCAGCTACTGCATTTTAGGAGGCTAGCAGTTAGAAAAAAGATGTTTCCTTTTGGTTTCAGGATGCATGAGAGTCCCTAAATTGTCTCAGGCAGTCCTTTGACTTGTCCGTGTAGCACTACAGCCACAGGGGCTGCTGATTTGAACTGGTTCTCCCCCAAGCAGTACAGAGGCCATGAACCACCCAAGCAACAGTCCATTCACTCTGGCTCCAATAAACAATCTAGGGGTTGTCTTTTTGTGATTTATTGCTGATAAAACTTTGGTATCTGGTTACCCTGCAGCACTGCACAGCTATTGATACCCAGTGCAATCTCAGGGACACTGCACAGTACAGGAGGGCACTCCTTTCAAAGCTTTCAGTCCAGAATACTCCCAAGGACAGGGAATGGCCAGTAACTAAGACCCTATGAGAGCAGTCTCAGTCCATGCAACCTCTGACGCTTATATCCCAAAAGCACACAGTCACCTGGCCATTTCCTGTTCTCAACAGTATTCCATCCTCAGGCTGCCACCTTCCAGCTTCCTCCGCACATGGTGAGTGAGACAGTCCTTCTCTAGACCAGATCCCTTTGGTAAAGTCCTGTATTCAGTTAAACATCACTTCCAGGTCCCATCTCTGCTACAACTGAGACATCACAGAACAGCAAAACCATCTACAGGCTGCCTCAGGTGCAACAGACCCCTGAGATGTGGACCTCTCCATACTGGGGAAAGACAATTTCTCCAGGGTTCCAGACTATTTATCAGCTTCCCAGCCACCATCTGGGCACACCTCCCTAGGGATTGGCTAAGCACTGATAAATATTCAGGCTGTTTATTTGAATTTTCCCTCCCTAAGCTCTAGAAACTTGTTCTAAAGGCAGGAAAGCAATTAAACTCCTAGCCTGTGAAACCCTGAACAGATAAGACCAAACAGTCACTGCTGCCTTGATCACAGAAGGAGATCAAAACTAAAAATTTACCTAGCATTCTACGCTAGGAGGATACTACGTCAGCTTTTGTGGCGCCTATATACAATAATGAAGCAAATAAGATGTAACCCACCCAATCATCCAGTGTAGGAGAATAAACATGAGTTATGACCCAAAAATATACAGTATGTCACTGCCTTGGTTACTGAACATATATGGTCTTATACAGTATGGCTTTTTCCATTATCTGTTATGCACTCTTAAAGCAGCTCTTATTTAGGGTGTAGGGGCATTTTAGATTTAATAATGTAAGAGGGCCCCTCCAGCCATTACTGTTATGGATGTACATAAACACTGATTGAATTTTACAGCCTTGGAGTTTCCTTGTGTTTCAGGAAACGTAGCTGTCCTGCAAACGCCCTAATATTAAATGAAATATTGAGAATGAGTGCGCTTGCCTATGTAGTAAGTGTACAATCCAAATGCACATGTTCCTGCGTTAAAAATGGCTGTGTGTATAAGTGGGTGCTGCAGCGACCGACGGCTGGAACCGAACAGAATCAGCAAGAGAGAATGCCATCAGCTCACCGAGGATCACCAATATGGGTCCAAACGTTTTAATGAACAATTAAATAGTTACATCAAGGCAATGTTTCGGAGTCTCGCAGGACCCCTTCATCAGGCATGTGACCTATGCCTGATGAAGGGGTCCTGCAAGACTCCAAAACGTTGCCTTGCTGTAACTATGTGATTGTTCAATAAAAATTTTGGACCCATATTGGTGATCCTCAGTGTGCTGGTGACATTCTTCCTTGCCTATGTAGTGACACGTTAGGTGAAGAGGTGGAACTTAGAAATACCTTACTACCTGAGAAATGGGAAGCTGGTAAATCAGCCCATTCAAATTAACTTTAATTGTGGGTGAACTGACCCTGCAATATTAGAAAATTACTGCAAAATTAGAAAATGAACTGTACATAATACAGTTATGTCAAAGCACACCTTACAAGCAAGCCGGTCTTTGGGTAAACTACTGTGCAACTACTCTTTTATGTCTAATTTAATTTATTTATCCTCTGTGTTAATGACTCAATAGATAAGTGAAAATGGATTTAATGTGAACAGAAACATGAACTGAAAGAAATTGCTATTGTGATTTAAGGGGTTTTCCGCATTTGCTAAATATGGCAACATAGAATATAATTTGTGAATACTGATACTTCAAAGTAATTTTGTTGCTTCTATATAAAAAATAATATATTTACTATTATTTCATAAAGTAACTAAAATACACACATGAAACATTCTACAGCAGTATCAGACTACATCAAATTTTGAGCTCAGATAGTCTTTCTTTAAGGGTTCGTTCACACTTGCCACTCTTCAATGGCTCCTCCTTTTTCTGCAGAAGCAGTGACTAGGGGTGCACAGATGCTGTGAATGAGGCCGCACTGAAACCATCCACAACTGCAAAGAATGTGTGCATTTGTGGCGCAGTTGTCAAGTTTTAAGTGGGTTGCAATGCTGGTTAGTGAAACAGCTGCTGCCTCAGCCAAAAGGCGAAACAGTTAACCTGTTTCCCACACATTCTACTGTTAGCTCTGCCTCTCTCCCATGCTAATAAAAAGGGGGGAGGGCTCTGCCCAGCCAGACAGTCTGCATGGGAGAGTAGACACAGACAAGACACAGCATGTAATCTTCGGCCATATCACTGAGCTGCTGCAGCTGCCAGAGAGAGCCTCACCTGGCTCTAGGAAACCTCCACATTCAGGGGCATTGCTCAGACCCGCAGTGCTCCCTAAAGAACACCAGCCATGGATATCTGCCACTGTGGACTCTGCTTTGTATGAATTCATGTCTGTGCAGGTATGCTGGGGAAGCCACAAACCTGAGTTAGGGATTAGTTTAGAGAAGACTGTGTACTTTGTTTTGGAACTGTTATGCTGGAAGTTTCCATTAAAGCTTTTGAAACTTTGTCCTAGCCTGGTCTGATATTACCTAAAGTGTTATTAAACCCACAACAGTATAATCAGTCTGTATATGCAGTAAAGCATGCTTGTTATACTTACTGTGGAACCTACGGGGTTAATCCTCTGCATTGTGTAAAAACTCTGTTTGATCCTGACTTCTCTGATCCTCCCCTTCTTCTAGTGTCCCCCTCTTATCTCATGATAAGACATATCATGTGGAGTCACTCTGCACATGCTCAGTTTGGTGTGTATAGCTAGAGATGGTTTTTTGTTTTTCTTGGGAGAGTGCATGTGATCAGCACAGGGCCAATCAGTACTGTCCAAACAGGTCAGGGGTTCTGCATCCTCGTAGAGCAAATTGAAACCGCCTCCTACAATCTTTAACCAGTGCTCTGCTGGACACTGATAGAAATCACAAGACTGCTCTAACTGCTGATGAGAAAAGGTATATAACAGTTTATATTTACAAAAAAAAATTGAATTTCCATGTTCTGTGTGCAGTGGGAAACCAGATATTGTGAATGCAGGGTCCTGGGTTTAGTAACACTTTAGAGGGGTGCATGATGGTAATGGTGTAAGGAAGAACAGGGCCTGTAATGCACAAATACAGTGTGAAGTGGTGACATGCTGTTGCTAGGAGCAACAAGTACGAGAGAAGGATGATATGACAGCCAGGTAGCAGGAGAGTGGTATTCTCCTGTATAGTGAGTGGTCGGTGCCCTAGCAACTGGGACAGGACCCATGTGGCAGAGACCCTAGGGACCTAGCTGCATGGTATGGGAGAGAAAAGATTTAATTGTGTACATGCAGGAGGTCTGCACTGGTGTCCTGTGGGATCCCGTGCTGTCACTAGGTGGGAGGTGGCAAGTCAAGCTGGCCTGGTGGAACGAGACACTGCTCAGTTGTGCCACTTTCAAAATGTTGTATTCTGAGCAGGTGTATGTATTGTGGGACCGGGAAGCACATGTACGACAGTGTCAGGTTATGATTCCAAGACACTGGAGTGTATGGCCTGCTTCTAATTCAGGGTACCACCCAGGGGTGTATTTACCACAAGACAAACAAGGCATTTGCATAGGGCAGCATTTTTTGAGGGGGCAGCAGCATTTTTCAGGCGGGCAGAACCATCCTCCGAAAGAAGGAAAGGAAGAAGGGACACACGCAGCACGGGGACCAGGTGGGATCTGAGAGAGGCTGTGGGCTGCTTGATGGTGTATGCAGAGCCTGACTGTTGTTCCTGGGGATGGCCAGAGCTGTAAAGGTGAGTGTCTTATCTCTTGACAGGCGAGTTGCCAGTGTATGGAGGGCGTTGGTAGTGGAAGGCTCTCTAAGGAGGGGGCGGGGGGGGGACTGGGGTGTTGTTGGTCAATGTCAGGCTCTCTTCATGTGGGAGGGGGGTGCTGGCCGGTGCCAGGGTCTCTCCTTGGGGGTGTGCATTTTTGTGTTGCCTAGGGCAGCACGGAACCTAAATACACTACTGGTACCACCATAATGTTGATGCCACACACGAACACGGCCCAGCCTGGTCCCAGGCATTTGCAAACGCTGGAGAGTCCGGAGGAAGGAGAAGTGTGACAGAGAGAGCAAAAGGCGCAATGTGCACTGGACAAGTCGGCCCCACCATATCAAAATTTAGTTTGAAATAATTCATTATCTGAATTCTAATCAATTTCGAAAACAAAATTGAAATGTAAACATATTGCTGATTTCCTTCAAAGACTGTATTCATTAGAATATAGCCATCTCCGAATGGCGGCTCTAGGCAAAGCGACCTTACATCGCTTTCTATTTTGGACTGTGAATGCGCCTGTTGGTCCAAGGAGAGAACACTGCACTGTGAGTAAAAGCACTACATTTTACATGCACATGTTAGCACATTTAACCCTTTGATCACCCCTATTAACCCTTTTGATCACCCTGTCACTCAGCCAGTCCCATTAGCACAGTGTCAGTACATAGAATTTTTCACTGATCAATGTATTACTGCCACTGGTGACATCAGATACCATCAGGGTCTGTAAGCTCCCCTCCCAGCCAGGGTCAGCTAGTGTTATATCGCCCACACACTATCGCACTCCTGCTAGAGGTCGCTGATTACCCCCATCACTAGTATAATGTTTGTACAGATCAATATACTGACCACCAACAGAATTATACTAGTGCCTCCTTTGTATAGTGTCCCCAAAAACACAGTGTTAGCAGGATCCGACCCGTTCGCTGCCAGCACTAGCGTTTAGCCCCTCCGCTGTTTTTCACGGAAGATTTGTATCAATTGATTGTGGGCCAAAGCACTTTATACGCACAACAATACATCATTGCCTATCCAAATTCAGCTCTTACCAAGCAGTTCGCATGGAAACCTATCACGGTTTCTGAATTTAAACCTTTTTTAGGCCTAACCCTCAACATGGGCATTACAAAAAGAATGAATTGCGGTCATATTGGTCCACAGACCCAATTCATCATATGCCCATGTTCTCTGCTGTTACATATATGCCCAACAAGGACCAGCAACATACTGGTATGTCGCTGGACTTTGAGTGGTTATACCAGGATGATGCCTGCAGCTACAGGCATCATCCTTTTATACTTTTTTCAGTTGGTGGTCATCTTTCATGTAAAAGCAATCCTAGCAGCTAATTAGTTGCTGGATCATTTTTACAAGCAGTGGGAAAGGATGTCCTTCCCCCCTTCCGCCGCCTTCCACGGTTTTCTTGGGCTCTCTTGTGTCCTATCTGAGAACCCGAGAATGCAGCCGGACTATAGAGCTGATCAGAGACCAGGATGACCCCAAACATCTCTATGGGGGATTTTAAAAAACTGGAAGCTACGAGCATTTCATCATTTCCGTTTTCCGACTGGATATTAACAGTGCCATTTTTAAATTGGGAAAGCATCTGATCATACCAATCTTGGTGTATGTAGTTTGTCACCGTTGCCTGGGCATGCCCAAATTTAAATTATGTCATGTTTGGTGTCTATTCACCCAGCATAACATCATCTTTTGTATTTTATCAAACAATTAAACAATATAGTGTGTTTTTGTGCATTACGATTCAAAAAAGGATATTTTTTGCAAAAAATTAGCGTTTGACAAATCACCGCGCAAATACTGCGTGACATAAAAAATTGCAACACCCACCATTTTATTCTCTAGGGCCATTGCTTTAAAATATATATATATAATGTTTGGGGGTTCATGTGGGTTCAAAGTAATTTTCTAACAAAAAAATGTTTTTTCTTGTAAACAAAAAGTGTCAGAAAAGGCTTGTCTTCAAGTGGAGAGTGAGTGATGTGTGGCATAAGCTTTTAATGTTGACCCTAAAATGTCAGGATAGTAGAAGCACCCCCTTCCATACCCCTTTTTGGAAAGTAGACACTCCAAGATATATGCTAAGGGATATGGTGAGTAATTTGCAGATCTCATTTGTTGGCACAAGTTTTTGGAAAATAATAAAAGAAAACAAAATTTATTTTCCTTTTCTTTTTCAAAACCCTGTGACAAAAATAATATCTGAAAAATACTCACCATGCCTCTTATTAAATTTGTTGGGGTGTCTACTTTTCAAAAAGGGGTCATTTTGGGGGTGTTTGTACTATCCTGGCATTTTAGGGTCTACAAAACTGTGATAGGTAGTGAGGAAGTGATATGAGGAAATATGCCCTTTGAAAGCCTGAAGGTGGTCGTTTGATTTTGGGGGTCTGTATGTGGCTAGGCTGCAAAAAGTCTCTCACATGTGGTATTCCCATACTCAGGAGAAGTAGCAGAATGTGTTTGGGGTGTTATTCCACATATAGTCAATGTGGGCAACAAATCATTTAAGTGACAACTTTGTTTAAAGAAAAAACAAATTGTCATTTTCCAAAAATTTGTGGCAAAAAATATAATCTTCCATGGACTCAACATGCCTCTCAAAAAATTCTTTGGGGTGTCTACTTTCCAAAAGGTGGTCATTTGTGTTTTTTTTTGTACTGCTCTGTCATTTTAGTGCCTCAAGAAATGTGATAAGCAGTCAGAAAGTAAAAGCTGCGTAAATTCCAGTATATATACCATAGTTTGTAGATGCTCAAACTTTCACACAAACCAATTATTATACAAGTTTTGGGATTATTTTTTACCAAAGACATGCAGCAGAATACATTTTGGCCTAAATTTATGACTAACTTTGAGTTTATTTGGAATCTTTTTATAACCGAAAGTAGAAAATATCTTTTTTTTTTTTTCATTTATATCACAAAAAATAAAAAAAACAGTGATTATCAAATACCACCAAAAGAAAGCTCTATTTGTGTGAAAACAAACATAAATACGCAGTGCTGAATAGCAAAAAATGGCCTGGTCATTAAAGGATGTGTAAATCTTCCAGAGGGCAAGTGGTTAAATACATTTTTCAACCATCCAAACAACTTTAGCAATCAGTTTGATTAAGCAAAACATTTTTACAAGTAAGCAAATATGTTTATGTATCAATTTATCTAGTAATATTTTTCAAATGGCAATCACAACATTCCATATGCAGGAAAACATAGAAAATGTATCTCCTGGTATCTGTGACCTTAATTTAAGCCAAACTGAAACATAACATTGTAAATTCTTCTATGACTGGGAGTTTTCTTGCTTGTGAAGGAGTAGCTGTTGATAAAATATTTTACACTTGATTATTATTATAAAAAAAATATAAACATACCGTAGATATTTCTGCATGATAATGTTTAAAGTGGAACTTTATTCAGAAAAAGACGTCCTGCTAGATCACTTCATGTTGGCCCCTTTTGCAGGTATAGCTATTTAAAACATTAAAATAAGTGCCTATATTGTTTAAAATCCAGTGATGCATCTCACACCGCTCTGCTTATGCTCAGTTGCTCTACATTTAGGCACTGTGCCAAATTTTAGAGGACGATCTGCTGACAGCCTAAAGATTTACTGCTGTTCAGGGGCTCTGGGTATCAGCAAACTAGTGGCCTCTTGTAAAAAGGAGTAATGCTGGAAGCAATTTACAGCTCATTCTAATTTTCGCAGCATAAATATTAATGTGGAAGGTATGTTTCTTGCTAAAGAAGTTGTTATGGACAAAGTTCCACTTTAACTTACAAAAATTACGGTATAATGTCAGCTCACATAAACTGTGCTAGAAAGGTTATCATTTTGGGGGTAAGATACATACATACATGGCCATACATTAATCATTTTGTTTTCATTCAACTAGCAGGTGTAACAAAAAAAAAAAGAAAGATCAGATTCCCCCATCCACACACTCGATGTGAATGGGGGAATCATTCTCGCTGTGCTATTGTGTTTTGACAGCTGGGAGCCTTCCCCGCCATGAGAATACACTGATCAGTGTTGCCAGCTATAGACGCCGGCACTGG